TGGGCTCTATGGGGGGGGGGCAGAACGGACTTTATGGGGCCAGTATACGAATCCCCTCGGCTGCATTCAGCGGGGAGTGAATGACGTCGGCTGTACGCTGGGCCGCGGATCGACAAACCAGCCCGCAAGTCTCTTCTCTGCCATTACATGGTATGATGGAGCCGGGTGCAGAGATCATGTACCTAAGGGCACGCACCGGAGTTCAGTGTCTGCTCAATGGGTGAAGCAAGATGGCAGACCTGGGAGAAGGGGATAAAATGGCACCGGTGTGGGGTCGGGGGGTTATGGGTGCAGCCAGAGGTCACGAGCGCACATGATCGGTATACAATGCCGCCCCCCCATACCGCTGGGCATGAAAGGGTTAAACTCCAGCCAGCCAGTCTGGCATTACCGAGCACGGTGGCTCGGGGTCCCCTACGGTTGCACCGGCAGCTGTGGCAATGAAAGGCCGCGCTGCGTCTAATCACAGACCCGACCCGTCCCCGTCACTCCACCGGAGCCGAGCGATCTGCGAAAAGCCGCCATCGTTCCACCTGAGCAGCTTCTGTAACCACCGCGTGAGCCGCAGCCTGTCACGTGACACACAGCTGGTCATGTGACCTGACAGACGGGGCGCGGGGACCGGTAGTCATCGCTCTCAGGGACGTATTTGTCCTTTAAATGTTTTTACATCTGAAGGCCAATTACACGTCATCATCGTTAAAGAGAACCTGTCATCGGTTAGTCCAGGCTGTCCTTATATTCTCCCAATGAGGGGATACCAGTGAACCGTGCCGCGCCCCCCCTGGCACCGACGTGTGAGCCGCCATTGGTATGTAAATATTTACCAATCTGTAAACACGGCGCTCCGGGGATTCCAGGCACACATGACGCCAACACACAGACGTGTTTACATGGGAGAGAGATATGACGCCCTCCACACAAAACACGCTTCCCGAGTCTGCCTGCAACACGATTATAGGATGGGGGGGGCGTTCAATAATCTCAGGGGGGCTGTGGTACTGAGCGCTTTGTATTTAAAGACTACAGAACACCCCCCCCCAGAACTTTATTTTTAAACCCCAATACATAGCTGGTTGTTGGAAGTCTTCTTTCCGGCCAATTGACCTCATCGGGGGGCTGGTGACACTCAGGACAGAGCGGGTAGTACGGTGAGCCCAGCATGCATAACGATGCACCCCAGGGGCGGGCCCATGTAAAATAACTGGCTGGGGCCACAGGGAATGGACAGGTGCATCATGGGATTTGTAGTTTCACCCCCACAGCTGGGAGGGCCGGAGTTTGGCTGCCCCTGCTCTATTTAGTGTTGACCACCTCCCCCCCTTCATCATGTGACAGCGCTCGGGGCTGGCGATTGGACGTTCAGCATCCCGGGAAGGTCACGCGATCGGGGGGATTCAGCACGGTTGTGGGACCCTGTAGTGAGAGGAGGCGGGCTTCGTGGTCATGTGACCCGACGGATCATGTATTTGACATACACGGGAGGATCAGAGCTCAATGCCAATCCCCCTTCATTGTTCGTATTATGCAGCGCGGGGGGGGGAGACCCGGCCTCCTCTGTCCGCCGTGTCTATGTCCGAGAGATTTCCACCCTCACTTCCTGTGTGGTCACCTGAACAGGAAGTGAGGGGGGAAGTCTCAGTGGGGTCAAATTACAGTCCATCCGATCTGATAAATGTGTTACTATAACGTAAAGTAAATCTGACGATCAGACGATGAAGACACCGCATGAGCCATGACAGCCACCGGCGCGGCCCGGCGTTCACTCACCTGCTCTCCCTTTGCTTTGGGCACCACCCTCTTGTCCTCCATGTCACACTTGTTTCCTAGCAGCATCCGCTCCACATCTTCATTGGCATGCTGGAAGAAGAAGGAGAGCGAGGGGTTAAATGCGACTCATTCCTGCGGCAGACTCGGAAAATGCGACTTTTACCGATCAGCCGCCTTTGTGAACACAACGGAGAGAAAAATGTGCAATAGAAGCTGCGGCGAGTCAGATAGAGCCCGCCCGTTTCCTGGCTGGAGGACGTCCAGCATCATCTATCACTTTCCTCCCCAGCCTGAGTGTCCCTGGCCCCGCCCCCTTTCACTCATTGGATTTCAGTCCTTTTATGACGTTTCTGTAATATAAGCACCTAAATCTCTCTTTATATTAGCTTCCTGGTAGCCTCCGAAAATCAGAGCTTTACACTGGACACAGAAACCGAACATTCCAATAAGAACGCCAAGAAAAGTCCGGTCACGGGCCGGGCGGCGCTGTCCGGCAGGTGAGCCAGAATCACAAGACTGGCTACACAGATTTACATACACGGGAAGAAGAAGTGGAAGATCTATGATTGATGGCTTACCTGAAGTTTGGGTTTGACGATGACCGGTTCTCTTTATTTCTGATAGATGGCCGGTTCTGGGTTTGTGGTACCGCCTTCAGGCCCAGTACACGGATGACTCCATTCACTGCACACACACGTCCCATGGTACAGGGGCCAGAGTCACACGGCACAGGTATAGGGGGCCAGAGTCACACGGCACAGGTATAGGGGGCCAGAGTCACACGGCACAGGTATAAGGGGCCAGAGTCACACGGCACAGGTATAAGGGGCCAGAGTCACACGGCACAGGTATAAGGGGCCAGAGTCACACGGCACAGGTATAAGGGGCCAGAGTCACACGGCACAGGTATAAGGGGCCAGAGTCACACGGCACAGGTATAAGGGGCCAGAGTCACACGGCACAGGTATAAGGGGCCAGAGTCACACGGCACAGGTATAAGGGGCCAGAGTCACACGGCACAGGTATAAGGGGCCAGAGTCACACGGCACAGGTATAAGGGGCCAGAGTCACACGGCACAGGTATAAGGGGCCAGAGTCACACGGCACAGGTATAAGGGGCCAGAGTCACACGGCACAGGTATAAGGGGCCAGAGTCACACGGCACAGGTATA